CGGCTGGGGTGCTGCTGGGTTGGTCCCGCAGTGCCGCACCTCACATCGCCCCCTCTCCTCCGCCACCACTTGCAGCCCCAGCTGGCCTGTAGCAGGCGACTGCGCAGGGCTTCCCCTGCCTCCCTGCAAAATGGTGGAGGGTTCACCCCTCACCACACCGATCCCCACCGACTCCCCCCACTCCCGGACACAGTGAGGGTCCCAGCGGACCCGTCTCAGGGGTATAATCCCATTCCCGTCTCCTCCCCTTCCCTTTCCTGGCCCATGAGCGCACGTGGTGGCTCACAGGAGCTCCAATTGTCCGGCTGGCTGAAGCATTTCTGGCTTCCAGTTGGTGCCGGACTATCAGGAGTGCCGGACCACTGGATGCTGGACAATTGGAGTTTTACTGTATTTATATTTGTGTTCTGTTGCTTTTTATTGAGTCTCTACTGCTGCCTGATAGCCTACTTTCAGTTCCAAATGAGGTATATGGTTGACTGGTCTGTTCATAGCTCTCATATTAATAACTGAGGTTCTGCTATAATATAATGATTTAATAGGATATTACAGTGATAAGATGACATGTTAACATTTCTAGTCCATCAGTAAGTAGGAACAAGTTTTTTGAAATTATCAGGTCGGAATAAACTACATCCAAAATTATAAGAGCATTGCCAGAGTTCTCCGAACCATTAATAATGATTTAACGTATCTTGGAATACTGGAAAGTTCCAGAGGACTTGAAAATAAGCTCATGTTATACCATTGTTTAGAAAGGGTAACTTGGATGATCTGTAGCCAATTTTCTGACATTGATCTCAAGTAAAATCATGGAAAGGATGATCTGAGATCCAAATCAGTAAAGAATTATAGGATGGTAACAATTGTTGATCAACAACATGGCTTTATGAATTGCTTTCATTTATATAAAAATGATAGTGTATGAAATTACAAGTTGTGTTGATATGATATGTGAAATTGTTTGACTTAGTCCCACATGACATTCTGTTTAAAAGTTTAGCACTACTAAAATCAATACAGCCAATATTATATAGATTAGAAACAGGATTAGTTGATCCTAAGTAAAGGGGGAAATTAGGACCTATGGGAATGTTTCTAAGGGGATCCCACAGGCATCTATTCTCAGCCCAATGATATTCAGTATCAACAATTTGGAAAGAAATGTAAAAATATCAGTGTTGGTAAAGTATGCAGATGACAAACTGATGGAATGATAAATAATGAAGAGAGGTCAGAGATAAATATGAGTCAATTGGGAGGATGAGCTTACTTGAACAATATATTTTAACAGTCAAATGCAAGGTTACAAACATGGTCTACACTAGGAGTTTAGGTTAAATTTAGCTGCATAAGCTCGAGTTTAAGAGGCAGTATTCTGGAATACTGGATACTAAAGGCGATACTGAAGGGGACTTGATCACAACTACCTATGGGAAAGAGGCCTCCAATAGATGGCTGGCACTTTAATTTAGCAGAAGGCGGCATAACAACATTCAGTGGTTGGAAACTGAAGCTAGAAAAATACAAATATGGATGTCTTTGCAGAAGATAGTTCAAAAAGAGCTTGTAAGTCTAGTGAAGTTACTGGATGAAGCTATATGGCTGTTTCCAGACTCAGGGGTTTTTTCGAATAAAAGTAGGCTTTTTTCGAAAAAACTTGCCCTGCGTCTAGACTGCAGCCGCATTCTTTCGAAATTAAATCGAAAGAACGCGGCTTTTCTTTCGATGGCGGTAAACCTAATTCCACGAGGAAGAACGCCTTCTTTCGAAAGTGCTCTTTCGAAAGAAGGCGTTCTTGAAAGCAAACAGACTTTTTAGAAAGAGAGCATCCAGACTCACTGGGTGCTTTCTTTCGAAAAAGCGGCTTGCTTTTTCGAAATTCCGCATGCAGTCTAGACGCTCTCTTTCGAAAGAGGCTCTTTCGAAAGAGGCTTGCAGTCTAGACATAGCCTATGGCTTGTTATGAAGAAGGTCAGACTAGATGTTCGTAATGGTTCCTTTTAGCCTTAAAAAAAAAAAGTCTATGCAGGTACAGACTGATGAAATTATAAAATGGAATGTAGGTTGGAGGAAGAAGGCAATTGGATCAGTTTTCACGCCTGGAATAAAATATGATTTGTCATCTCAAAACAGCTATGTCTGCATCCCATTCTCCCCTCCTCCCATGCTTATGTCCATAATTACAGCCTTCCACTTTTGCACCAGATGTTTGCGGCCAGACTGAAGAGGTGATCCCAACAGAAGGGAGGAGGACTGACAGACAAGATGGTTCTGATGCAAAAGGGTCAACTCAGCACCAGATCCAAGAAAACTCTAAAAAAGGACTTGTCAAATCTCAAAGCAGTAAAGGTAATGGTCTTAAAAGCAGCAACATAATCATATTCAGTCCTAGAGGAGAAATATATTCCAAATTACAATGCTGAGCATATTGTTTGCATCTTATAATAAATATACCTACCTCTTGTATAGCACTTTTCATCAGCAGTTTTCAAGCGCTTAAAGGTCAGAATCATGACCCTCATTTCACAGGAAATGTCATATGAACATCTAAACACAAAGAACTAAATATGTAATCTTAAAAATACATTAAAAACAAGCCAGAGAATACCAAAGTTAAGATTCATATATAACATTAGCCTAGGCAAGGAAACTGACATTTGAAAGAGAATCAAACAGAACCCAACGAGCAGAGAACAACAAGGTCTCAAGAGCTCAAAGGAACTATTACTACCATTAATTATTTGCACTAGAAGATCATCATATGCTAGGTGTAAAATTGCAAAGAGTTATGCATGTGCTTAAATGGTTTAGGAATGGGGGCCAGAGAAAAGAAACAACCTCTTTGCAAGCAGGCATATGCAAATAGAGGGTTTGGGGAAAGGAGGATGAGGTTACTCAAGTACATTCTTGACTGTAAGCAAGACATGATAAGTAAGTCTTCTACTCTACAGTGCCTAAATCTCCTGTGTGCTGCAGCTCTGGAGCCAGACGTGTAGTGTTGATGCCTGCAGGCACCACCCCATCGCTCCCCTTGGCAGAGAACGCAGCTTTTTAACAAACACCCACCAACTGTGGCAGTAGTCATAGTTGCCATTATCAGTTTGTAACTAATGTTCTATACACTCACCACACTTAACTGCTATTTTTTTTGGTGAAAACAAGCAAATAGATTTCAGAATGCAGAACTGGGAAGGATTAGGAGCCCAAAGATCTTTGTCATCTGAAAGACAACTCTTGCAAGCCTTGACTATAGTTGTGACCAATATTTAACCATTTGTGTGCCTGCTGGTTTTTAAGATGGTAATCAGCTAGAGAATGACAGAGCATTTTCAACAACAGGACATATCAGAACTGGTCTGAAGTGAGTGCCGTCCGTCTCTGTTAGCAATCCTCAGCCTCATGCTCAGTGCACCTTTTCTTTGAGCTGTTGACTTAGTGCCCACCACTCAAGCCAAGAACCTGGGAAACATGGGGTATGTTACACATTATTCTGCTTACTGCAGGTCAAGAGGGAGAAAGCTGCCTTCGCACATCAGACTGTGCCTTTGGGTTTTGCTGTGCTCGCCATTTCTGGACCAAAATCTGTAAGCCAGTTCTCAGCGAAGGGCTGGTCTGTTCCCGCCGGGGAAACAAAGATGTTGCTCAAGGACCAGCAATTTTCCAACGCTGTGATTGTGGCCCTGGTTTATCTTGCCAGTCACTGGTCACTGGGATGCCACAACAGTCTCGCTTAAACATCTGCCAAAGAAGCTGAAGAGCCAATAAACACTGGATCCAGAGAGGGAATAAGGGATTCGCAGTCTACTCCAGAGTCAATTTATACACTGTTCTATAAAACTATCCCTAATCTTTCCGAGGACAACAGAGCCCTGCATGAGAGAAAACATCCAGTCTAAAGTACAATCTGGGAGCTGGGCAACCCTAGATGTACATTTTGTTCATATACTGGTGCACCCTTGTGGCTGAACTGAGCAGGTATCAAATCCTTACAAAATTGCTCTGCTTTCCAAAAGCCCAAGGGATAGCAAACAAAAAGATTCCTCCTCCCCAAACTATCTACGATCCTTTTTTATAGCTATCATAGCTGTAGTATCTGTACAAATTATAAAGTTTTACAATTGGTTCCCAATTATGTAGTCATTTACTAAAATAACTATTATATACTTTCACAGGAATCACAATTGACTTGTCTGTAGTTTCAAATTATTTCCTAACATTCCTAGTACATTAAGGACTACAAAAGAAAGCTGTGTCTGGCTCAGACTCTATGTTGGAATCACATAAGTGTTAGTTACCATCAAAAAGTACTCGATAAACTATTTATAGAGCAGCACAGAGGGAAGGGCTTTACCTGAGGCAAAAAGCACTACACATGCAAAATAGAACAGCCAGCATGCAAGGAAAGAAAACAACGGTCAACAACAGAAAAAATGGTCTGGAATATATTTAATGTCAATACAGACCACACTGGACCTAGATTTTTAAAATTTCATCCACATCACTATATTTCTGTCTCAACACACATCCCGTGAACCACTCTGAACCTGGAGAAGGCTGGTTAGACCATTAAGACCAATGGGAATTTGAGAAAGTGGTGAATCACTCAAAACTGGGGGTTATAATAAAAAAGTTACTAGCAACCTACATTGTACCTAACCAGCACTAAGGTGTATGAGGAGCTCAGGACAGGGAATTTGGGTGTATGATGAACTCAGGACACGGAGTGTGTGGGGGTGCAGGAGTGTTATGGTAGGGGTCCGAGAATGTAGGGATATGAGGGGCTCAGGGCAGGGGGCTCAGGGTTGGTGTGGGGGGGGATGCAGGAGTGTTATGATGCTGTGGGCAGATGCTGGGTCTTAACTGGAGGCTTGCTGGCCAGGCTTCATTTTTAAATAAAGTAAAATATGTCCAACACAAAAGATTGCAACATTGTCTTTGTGGCAGGAGTGGGAAACCCTTTTTGGGTCAGGTGCTACAGACCCACAGGGGAAAAAAAACAAAATCAGTTGAGGACCACAAAAGAAAGAAGTGCAGAAAACCCCAAACAAAATAACCCACCCCTGCACACCACCCTCCAAAACCCGCCAAACCTCACTGATATGACCCCCCTCCTCCCACTGAGACACCTCACTACCCTGGTGCTCCAGCCCCATAGTGGGAGGAGGAGCAGGGAAGACTGAGGTTTAAGACCTCAAGCCAGATTTAGTCTTCTAGGGTTCTAGATTTTGTGGTTCTGGGGTGAGGCCAACAATGAGGGGTTAAGTGTATGGGACAGGGTTGCCAGAGAATGGGATATGGATGGGAGTCCAGGAGCTGGGGTGTAAGAGAAGGTAAGGGTGTAATATCTGGCCGGGGGAGGGGTGTGAGCATGAGGAGGTGGAGGTGCAAGGTCTGGGCATGAGGGGGCACTTCCTTGTTATCGCACTGTGTGATAGCCACTGTGTAACAGCCTCCCACTGCTCCCATTCACCAGAAAGAAGCCTCCAGAAAGTGTTTCCCAGAGGAAGGAAAATGGTAGTGCACACAGAGCCAATTTTTTGCTCCGCTTATCTCCCGAATGCTGGATCTGGCAGGGAGGCTTGTGGCTTTCTCCCTCCCAACCTTACCCACAGGAAACTTGCAATTATATTCCCATCTTGCAGAGGGCTATAAGGCTGTAGTGCCAGCGCCGGCTCCCTGATGCAAGGGAACCTGGGAAGGCTGAGTTGGGGCTACAGAAGAGCCATATTTGGCTCATGAGCCATAGGTTGCCGACCTATGACAGCCTCTCGGCCTAGCAGCTTCTTTTATAATCAGCCTGCCGGGCCTTGATTGACCGCAGCAGAAGCAGCCACTCTATTCTGCTTGGAGGAACCTCTCTTCTGCTCTTCTCCCTGTGGCAGGGAGTGTAAGGCCTAGTCCATCCCGTCACACAAGTATATTGGCTTTTATAAGTAGCTTAATTTAGACACTACCATAAAATACACTGACTAATAGTAATGTTCTTTGTTAAACAGCCACATTTTTCCATGAAAATGGTAGAGGAAAGTAATAAAAACAAAACCTGTGTCTTATGAACAGAGATCTAATATCCCACAGAGGAAAAAGGCAGACTATAATTTCCAATTATAGACAAGATCCAGACCAATTCCTGATTTAATCATTGGGGAATTTTATCCTGAGGGAACAGCTTTGTTTAGCGTCTCCATTGAGATTTATCTTTGCACCTTTGCAAAGGGACTAATTAAAATTCAGATAAAAACCATGTCTATAATAAAGGTATTTGTGAATAAAAAGGAAAGTCTTCAAGTTGCAATATTAGGTGATTTAATATTTAAAACATATTTTATTCTAGTGCCATTGAGCTCGTTTAACAGAATCAGTAATACACACCTTCTGAAGTAATGTTCAAGCAATAAATATGCATCTACTCTTAAATGATTTATTCTCAAACACTAAAAAAGCAAGCACTCTGGTGAACCTATGAAAGCAAATTATTCACTCCGTTCTTTTGGCTCTCGATACTTCCACTGTATGTAATCAAAAATGTCCTTTTCACTGTCTACTGGGAGGGGTTCCCCAGCAACTCCTGCAAACACAATAAAGACAACAGAAGGGTGAACAGCAACTTCGCAAGGCATTATGAGAAGCAGCAGTCCTGTGCAGACACTCTTTTATAACACAAAGACAGATCTATTTGGAAAACAGACTAATGTCTGAAAACCAAGAAACTGCATAAAGGAATGAAATGGGGAAATAGGAGTTTGGTTAACAGTTAGATAACTCTAGCTCCTGACAGTTCAATATACACCATCACTAATGTTCCCGCTAATCTTTTCCACCCATGTACGGAATAAGTTTTTATGGGCACAAAGACATACACAAATGTGCACCACTAGTAGAAATAAAACCTATGAGTACTCTGATAATCAGCTGGTGGCATGCACAAGTGCCCTGCTTAAAGTTAGTATGCCAATCCCAAACCAACTGAGAGCACTACAGCCTTGTTATAATGCTGGAAAACAGATGCCTGTCCTGTGTGGCACAAACAGACCAAGTCTTGTTATCATTTGAATTTTGCCATTGATTTCAGAGCTGGATCAGGCAGACCCAGAGCTGGAATACTTTGTGTGGCATTGCTGCGTAGGTACTGGAGAGAAGAAAGCTGCCTCCTGATCCTAGATAGGTCTCTGATATCAGAGAGAATAGCATTTACATTTGTAACTACTGCATGTGTCAGTAGCCTTTGAAACATTCTGAAATAGTCTTTGCGTGGAAGGGTTTTCAGGGCAAGTGTGACTAACCACCTCTCAGTGCCAACTGGTAAAGGGTCCACTGTTCTGTAATAACTCCTGGCAGCAATGATAAACTCACATTAGATTCACCACATGGACTTTGTAGAATAGATCTAAAGATAGCTGAAGTATCTAATAAATGCATGTCATACTGATCCTCATAAATGTTGCAAGATCTAAGGATAGGCAGCAGAGATGTGAAAGGGTAACTGTGTACTTGGTTACATGCAGGCTCCCAGTACGCACAGGGAGCCAGCTTTAAAGCCAGCTCTCCATGCCCCCTGACTCCTGGAAAGCCACCTGCCCTCAGCTGAAGTTTTCAGCAGCTATGCTTACTTAAATGCACTTTAACATCCCTAACGGATGATATTTCAGGAATTGTGTATGTGTTCTGAAAATATGTTTCAAGGTTTTGAGCCACAAAGTTAACTATCTGTCATGTGGTTGGCTATGTAAATTAAGCATTGTAAGTCAACAGAAGCCAAATCTGTACACTGAGTAAATGGGGATAGGAAGGCACCAAAGACTAAATCACAGGAGATCAATTCTGATTCTGGGGACAAAACAATCAATTTGGAGGGCTATAAGAAGGCAAAAAGGACACTTGTTGTTCACGGAGGAACCAAAAAGGACAGTGCTTACCATATTCATGAAAGGAGGATCTTAGCCATGACCTTTGGAAATAGTTTCTCATCTAAAACAATTTTAAACAGACTAAAACCTAAGTCTAATTCTAGGAAGCATATTTTATATGCAACCATTTCTGCCTCCATTGTTATCCTCACTCTCTTAAATCTTAGCTTCTGATAATAAACTTATGATTGTTTTCATTACCAACAAAACTCAGTGCTGTAGGAGTGGACTCTCAGTTGAATCACACAAATGTGTGTTACTGGTCCCTTGGGGAGAGCAAGTCTACTAATTTCTCTGAGGATGCAGTTACAGGAGTGGAATAGGCAGGGTGCAGGCTCAGAAGATTGGAATGTGCTTATTATTAGCTTGCACAACAAGAGTTCTGTTGCCAGCAGGATTTCATAGAATCATGGAGTCCCAGGGCTGGAAGAGACCTCAGGAGTCATCGAATCAAGCCCCTGCTCAAAGCAGGACCAACCCAACTCAACCATCCCAGCAAGGGCTTTGTCAAGCTTTTAAAAACCTCTAGGGATGGAGATTCTACCACCTCCCTAGGGAACCCATCCCAGCGCTTCGCTTCCCTCCTAGGGAAATAGATTTTCCTAATATCCAACCTAGACCTCCCCCACTGTAACTTGAGGCCATTGCTCCTTGTTCTGGCATCCATCACTACTGAGAACAGCCTCTCTCCATTGTCTTTGGAACCTCCCATCTGGAAGTTGAAGGCTGCTCTCAAATCCCCCCTCACTCTTCGCTTCTGCAGACTGGTTTGGTTTCTGGAAGCTGAACTGCAGCACACAGATAAGATCACTTCACATTATGACTCCCAACCCTGAGTACCTCTAGCAAGCATTACAGCAAGACACACTAGATAGATCACTGAGTGTGGAGACCAAACTCACCAGTAACTCCCAAGGGCCGAATTGTGTACTCATTGATTGTGAAGCCCATTTCCAGGGCGTGAGTTCTCATGTTCTTATTGAATAGGTCACTGCCTGTGAAGTACAGTACCCCACAATAATACTGGTCCTTGGGGATCAGCCTAGAATAAATGGACAAAAGAAAAAACAAAAAGACACAGCACAGTTACAAGTCAGTTGGAATTCACTCAAAGGGCAGTTTCTCAAGTCTTATTACCCGTTACAGCAAGTCCCAATGTTCTACTGGCCCCACTTTACAGAATTCCTAGAACATAATTGGAGAAAATGCAAGGCACAGAAAGGAAGAGGGGATGCAACAACTCTTGCCATTAAACTATTATTGAGTGGTTAAGGGTGCATTACTCTGAAACCTCTGTTCAGTAGTTGCTGGAGGGGAAGGATGGTAATGACAATCCTTGTTCTGGAAGCAGGAGAAGGGGGGCTTGCTTTGGAGTCAGGTGCTGGGACAAACCACTCTCCAACCCCCCAACAAGAAGTTGAGTTGGCTGTGCAATTCTGTTGTGTGATGCACATGAGAAGGTGGAATCATGACAACTATCCCCATTCTGGATGATGGTTTTACAAATGCCTGTTTTACACTAGAGATGCAAGCTAATTCAATTTAAGTTTTACCTGATATCAATTCTCCGGTATGGATAATTGGTTCCATCTTCTTTGTTTGGTAATTGACATACACCCTAAAAGAGCACAAGGAAATCAGAAGTTATAAAAAGGAATGAAATAATTCTAAAATCTCTCTCTCTTTTTTAAAATCCCATTAACAGTTTTGAAACACAGATCATGAAGCCTATGTATTTATATAATCATGCACAGACAATGTTTTAGAAAGGAGTAAGAGATTTTGCTTACTAAACGTGCTTTTTTGGCTTATATTCCCCCACCCCCTACCAGGGCTCGACAAATGGCGAGTAGATTTCAGCCGGTCGCCCCGTTCACCAGCGGCACGCACATGCGCAGTGCGGGGCTGGCGCATGCGCGGTGGGCGAGTGGATTTTGCCACGGTCTGTCGAGCCCTGTTAATAACTATGAGGATTTCTAAAGGAACACAAGACTCAGAGGAAAAGTAAAAAGATTAGGACAATGGACAAAGCATCAGATGCCAGAATTTTGTAGTACTGTGCAACTACATCCTTGCATTTGTCCATTGGACTGCTCAAGTACTAGGCTGCATTTAGGAAGTTACTGAAGTCACTGAGCATATTAAGAATAAAGCATGTCAAATCAGGATCAATAATCCACTAGGCTAGAAAGCAAGTTAAATATGCATAAAGTAGGATTTGTGCAATACTACAGAAATGTTGATATTAAGTCATTGAGACCTTATGAATTAAGCAAAATACTCAAAAGTATTTCAGGTATCCCTCCCTGCTTCAGGAACATCCATCGTATCAATTCCATAAAAGATACCAAATGGCATAATCCCATAACACAGAAGCTAAAACAGAAGAAGTAGGATAACGTGTATTATATCCATGCCACCTTTCACCTACAAAACACAACACTTACCTACCATATAGGTAAGTAACTAGGGATGTGAACAACCAGTCAACTATCCAATATGCTAGGACTACTCAACACGTGGCCTGTAGGTGGCCTGTTTGTTTGTGGCTCACAGTGTGGTTTGGGTGAATATGTGTTTTGGTGCTTAAATTCTGCTGTGAAGCCAAAACAAAAAAGTAGTCAAGATAATGGTCTTCTGTTGAGATGCATTTTAGTAGTTAAATTCCTGGCCTGTCATTGCTCATTAAAAGTGCTGACATAGGGGTGGAAATCGGGTAAATATTGCATTTTAGTAATATCAGCAGAACTGGCTTAAATGGGGCCTGCGTGTTGTGTAGTCTTGCCTTAATCTTTGTATTCATGCCTGTCAGTGTGAAAGAAGCTATTTGCATATATATTTGCATGTCTATGCAACCACACTAAGTTGCAGCCCTCGGCATGTGCTATCACTGTGGCCCCCAGGGGCTTCTAAAGTTGAGTAGCCCTGCAATAAGCAAATGCTTATCAAATAGTCAACAGGCTAGTTGAGTTCCTTCCCCCCTGCCTTGCTGCTTCTATCAGCCTTGGCGCCTTGGGGCTGTTGCTACACTTCAAAGACGGAAGAGCCTTTATTGACTAATTGAATAGTTGATGCAAATTGCATCAACTATTTGATTAACCAAATAATCAAAATTTTACATCCCTATAAGCAGGGCTCGACAAATCACTGTTTCTACACTCCCGTGGCAAGTAGATTTCAGCTGGTCGCGCCGTTCGTCCCATTCACTGGCACTGCATGCATGCGCATGGGCGGTGCGGGGCTGGCGAGTAGATCTCACCGTGGTTTGTCGAGCCCTGCCTATAAGTAACTGTTGTGAAGTCAGGGAACCTGAGGTACCACTAGAACTCCAGCATTCCAATTCCCAGGCCTCTATTTTAGCCATTACAGGTATGCTGAGAGCTCATGATTGTGAATGGAAAATGACAGCTAAACAGAACAGTAGAAGAAAGCATGGATAAAAGTTACAGCCAATGCAAGTCTGAATGGAAAGGCATTTTCTGACATTAAAAGTACCAGAAAGGCTCTTAGAGAAAAAGTCATTGTATAATTCATTTAGTTCACCATCAATCTTTATTTTATGTGGCGTGTACAACTGCGCGGGATGATTGCGGGTGGGGAAGAAGAGTTGCAGAGCTGTTTACACAGGAAAACTGAAAACCCTTGCACAGGATGAACTTCTCTAAATCCTGCCCCTCTGGTCTGGCAGGATCCTGGATGTTCCAGAACCAGAGAGTTTTGGTGGAGGGCTGGCAACTGGGAGCCCTGTGGGCCAGTAGGGCAGTGGGCCTGGGAGCCCAGCGGGCCTGGGAGCCCAGCAAATGCTGGTGGGACTGGTGACAGAGAAGCCAGAAATGACTTCCCCTGGTTTGGCAAAATCCCTCATCCAGGACTAGTCAGGTCCGAGGGTGCCAGATGAGGTAAGTCCAACCCGTAGAATGTCCTCCAGCCACACTAAGATTTCCCCTTCCTTATGTTTGTTCTGAAAGCTCAACAAATCTGTATCCTTTTGCAACAAGTTACTGATTTTTAATATGTTCTGTTGTCTTCACTCAGACATTTCTAATCTCAACTAGAGTCCCAATCCCATTTACTTTCCCAATATTTGAACTTCGCCTGCCATTTCTACTTACTCTACCCTGACATATCATCAACAGTGTCCTCTCCAGTAATGACTGTTTTATACAGATGTATGCAATGAACGTGTAGTGGGCTGGAGTGGCCACCCACTGATCCCAAGGGGGAAATGCCCCTCCCAGAGCCATGGTGGGCTTGCCTGGATGACTCACCTAGGAGAATAGAAAAGGACTGCCAGAGAGGGAGCCAGAAGCCTTCTCTCCCCAGCCAGCAAGGGAGCCAGAGGCCTTCACGACACAGACAGCCGGGAAGTCAGAAGCCTCCCCAATCCCGCCTGCTGAGGAGCCAGAACTGAAGGGGGAACCAGAGCCAGAGGAAGCAGACAACTGGCCTGGGCCTCCGGGCCTGCTGATGGACGACTACCAACTGGGCTTGCTGTGGTGGCCAGAGGTTCCTAACCCATGCGGCCTGGAGGACCTCCCACGGAGCCAGGTACAAGGTATGGAGGGGAGAATTGGAGTGGGCCATGGGATAGTCGACCATGGTCTGGCAGAGCGTCAGTGGGCTGCAGTGCACTCATAACAGGTCAGTGAGTTTTGGACTGGATCCCTGCTGACCACCAGCTGCGATTAGGGCCCTGGGCTGGGGCACAGTGGTGTAGGGAGAGCCCGTGTCCACCCTGCCACCCCTTCATTGGGTGGCAGTGTCCCCTCCTGCAGTTTGCAGCCACAGGCAAAGTGCTTGAATCCCTCCTGAACAGGGAGACCGACTACTTACTGGGCTTACTGGTTGTGAACCGGTCGGCTTGCTTTGTGTGATGCCCTTGCCCTGCCCTAGGGCTGGGCCTCTAGCTGGTGGTGAAAGTAGACTTTGAACGCTCCCTCCCCATCCCCAGGTCAACCAGGGCCTGGGGGTGGGAGGACTGTGTGAAGTCTGCCCTCGCCCTGGCAAGAAGTGCTGCACTTAAGAGTCACCTGCCAGCTGAACAGCAGACGGCGGTTGACTGCTGAGCCCCCTGACGGGCAGAAGGAGACTGTGCATGCTCCCTCCACCCCAGGCCACTCAGGAAAAAAGTCTCCTCCTGCCCTGACCCCATCCTGTGTGCTCTTCGCAGGGCAGGAGCAGAAGACTTTGCGTGCTTTCCTCCACCCCCAGGCTCTTATTGGCCTGGGGGCAAGGGAAGTGCCAAGTCTCTCACTCCCTGCCCTCCAGTGCATGGCGCTTAGAGTCAACTGCCAGGGTTGACTAAGCATCTCGAGCTCCCCCGTCCCCAGGCCATGATTGTCCTGGGGGTGGGAGAGCGGGGCAGGACCTCTGTGGGCTGGATCAACCCACTTGGTGGGCCTTTTGCCCACCCCTGGCCTACATGGTGCTTGGTCCTGCCATGAATGCAGGGGACTGGACTTGATCATTTTTCAAAGCCCCTTCCAGTCCTATGATCATCATTAAGCTAATCCATGATTGAGTGGAACTAACCAAATACTGTCTCCAGTCCAGTCATAACAGTTGACTATGGTTCTACTTGTATGTTAGAATGAACTTTTCACCAGCCTTTAAGAACAGGGTAACTGGAGCCTGTAAAAACAGAACTGGTGGAAGTGAAACACGATAGCATTCGCTCAGTACTTTAAACAAGCCGCTAAAAAAAACCAAAACCAAAAAAAAAAAAAAAAAGCCCCACAAACAAACCAAAAAAACCCAATTTGTCTCCATACAGAGGAATACTTAACTTAAGGGTCTGCATCATTACAATTAAACACACAACTGGGGACAATCCTCAGATATTCTGTGGGCAAAGATTCCTTTCATTTTCTGTTCTGCAACCACTGACTTCATCTGGAATATTTTTTTGAGGATACACAGGGTTCTTGCTTTATTGAGATTAGATATTAAATTCATAAAAAGGTGTCTAACTTAGCTACTAATTTCTCGCAGTGTCAAACTGACAGGTCGAAACTCTCTTAACCGGGATTTTCTGGTCTGGCAACGTCCATGGGCTGGCACAGATGTTGCAGGACCAGAGAATCCCAGTGCAGGGGGCCAGTGGCATGGAACCCTACAGGGCTGGACAGGCAGTGGGCTGCTCACAGAAAGCTGATGGGGGGAGGGGCACCCAACATATGGCAGTGGGGCTGCCCAGCAAGGTTGGGAGACCCAGCTGGGAGATGCCGTTGCTCAGTGGAGCAGGGAGCTGCAGCGTACAGCTGCACTGCGGATCCTGGAGTCATGGCAGTGACGGCTGCCCAACTGGATCAGCAGGAGGTCAGGAGGTCCAGAAATGACCTCTCATGTACTGGCAAAATCCCTCCTTCGGGACTGGTCAGGTCCCCAGGGTGTCGGACCAGGGAGGTCCAACCTGTAGAACTAAACAGAATGATATGGAAACTCTCACTAGAGCAGTCTACATCTTCGAGTAACCAAGGATAAGATCACAGCAAAAGATGGTTTCGCTGAATCTTGGACAATTTCCCATAGCCATATATTCTATCTACACCAAATTGTAAATTCAAGCCTAATTTCAGGATAGTCATTGGGGTAGGCTGAAGGAGCAGTACAGGCTAGAGGCAGTGACAGCAAGGTGGGAGCATACTTTAAGTCAGAGAATCTGGCTAAGATGTATGGTAGTTATAGTAAAGAGGTGTGTAATGAGGCATGAGAAGGGAAAGGGTGGATCAGCTTGTGGGAAGCATTAAAGAAATCAGAAAGTGAGTAGTTGGAAAGGTGGATGGAGATGTGGTGAACATTATGATACATTGGACCCTGATAATAAAAGTCACCAGGAGATGGGATTTAGAGTTTGCACTCCCTTACATACTAACCCTTTTCTTTCTCCCTCCATTTAAAGAACGCAAAGCTGCATATTAACCAAAAGGAAACAATGTTTCTTATGAACATTTCAACACATATAGAGAAGACATTTTTTAATATAAACACAATGGGATAAAATGCTTCTTGGGTAAAGTTCCCTCTCCTTTAGCTACTGCACCTAGACACAGATTGTTTTAACAACTCTTGACCACAAAAAGGTATTACTAGCTAATTATTACTCTGCGTTACTGCATACACATGCGTATCTGATTAAAAAGGAAATAGTGCAAATCATATTTATGGTATATCTATCATGGAGATATTGCCTTATTAAATATTCAGAGAATACTCACCATGAATTTCGTATCACCCTTTGACAATGTGTCTGTGACAAAGTGGATTTTTTCCAATTGTTCTACAACTTGGTGCAAAAGCTTTGGCTAGAAATAATAAAGGTTAAATGTAAGCAAAGTGAAATGAAACCTTAGTTAAACAAAAAAGTTCCCTTTTCTTAGTTAACAGCAACATGACCCACAGATGTAGAATCACAGAATACTAGAACTGGACCTCGAGAGATCAAGTCCAGTCCTCTGCCCTCATGGCAAGACCAAGCATGGTCTATATTATCCCTGATAGATGTCTGTCTAACCTTAAGTATCTCCAGTCATAGAGATTCCATAACCAATGTATTCCAGTGTTTAACGACCCTGACAGGTAGGAAGTTTTTCCTAATGTCCAACCTTAACCTCCCTTGCTGCAGTTTAAGCTCATTGCTTCTTGTCCTATCATCAGAGGCCAAGGAAAACAATTTTCCCTCTTCCTCCCTGTGACACCCTTTTAGATATCTGAAAACCTCTATAATGTCCCTGTCTCAGTCTTTTCTTTTCCAAACTATAATATATCCTTGAGATCTCCTTAAGATTTACATTGATAGAAAATATCTATTCAAGGACCATGTTATGAGACTTTGGCAGAAACTACATGCCATAAAAAAGCAATACTTGAAAGTTTGGTTAAGGAAAAATTGTTCTCTCAAATCTACATTGTATTGCCAGACCCCCCACCCCCCAAAAAAAGCACTGAAATATTTTCATTAGACTTGATGAAGCTTGTACAATTTTAAATCTTGTATTTCTAAATTAATGACTGTTTTTTTTTTGGATTGTTAGTTTCCACAGGTCCATTAGAATCTTCTTTGATTTAACACAGAAATATTCTCTTGTAAAAAAACTAAAGAACAGCATTGCCAACTTTCAGTGATGGTTAAAGATGGTTCTAAGGCATAATATGCAGGGAAAGATTTATTTCCCTTTTTGTTGTTTCTCTGCACACAAAAAGATATCTCGTTCCTCTTTAAGATCTATTTAGATAATGATTAATAGTGATTAAACTGTGATAAAGGTATAAATATATGCAGTTGCCTAACAGAAAAAGACCTTAAGAGAATGACATAATGCTTTCAAGACACCTCAGAAATCATCATCTTGGAAATTCTAAAGAGTGGAAGTTACGTTTAAACACCTGGAAGCACAAAATTACAGGATCACTCAAACTATTTGAAGTATGCCATGGTTCTTTAGCTTCCAACCATCACTGTCTGTGATACTGAGTGGAAGAGGGAAACATTGATTTAAAAAAATGGAGAGAATCATGAGTACTTGTGGACTTTTAAAATTCATTACTTCTACTTGAATTGTGTAGCTTGCCTCTAAATTAAGGAACTCTGGGCCACAGACACTGTGTAAATTAACTACATTTTTGGTGTGCCCTATCAAAGGCTCATAAGCTTCAAATACAATAGTCAAGCCATAGTAAGCATCTTGTGAGACCACTTTTTTCCATTTTAAAACACAAATGCTTTTTTTTCGGGGGGGGGGGGGGGGGGGGGAAGGGGTGAACTGTCCTGAATGTAGTTATTTTTGGTAACAAGATATAAAAGCCTGATTTTTTCCCCCCACAAAAAATTGCATATGGTTTTAAAGAAAGCAGGGCCATATTTTTTGTAGTGATATAAAGTCAGGAGTAGTATAATGCTACAAAAAAGTACAATCAATTTATACACAAGGGAAAGACACCAAGCCCATGATTCTGAACAAGCAGTTCTCTTATTAGAGAACCACAAACACTTTGAAGCACTTTGATAATATCATAGTGATCATGGCCTCTTCCCCAGAGGGAAGTAGTAAGAAATGAAAATAAACTTTCACACATAGAGGGGGAAAGCATTAACTATTGAGCCAGACATACACGTGTTCAGTATATTAAGTGTGAAATTTCTTTAGCATACATAATTTAAGGATGTTAGACATAATTTATTTTAGTAAATGTGTAGCCACAACAATTTTTAGTGGTTACAAACTTACTAAAATGCGTAGTGTAGTAAGGAGACCCCCTGTCACTCTGGGAGCCCCTCTGCCATTCTGCTGCTGCCTCTGTATGAGTGGCATGAGGGGAGCCGGTTTAAAAATCAGTTCCCCACGCAGACCGGCTCCTCTCTGCCACCCTGCACTGCTGCCTCTGATACAGATGCAGCAGCGTAGAGTGGCAGCAGCTCCAGTCCACAGGGGGGCCTAGGACCTCCACAGACAGAGGCTGCTCCAGCATCCTGTGTCTGTCCCCCCACCTCTGTGGGAGGCAGCAGGGAGAGGGGGCAAATGGCTCTGCAGGAACTGGCATGCACAGGCAACCAGCTTAAAAGTTGGCTCCTGCCTCCCCCCTGCTTGTTGCCTCGGATACACAGGCAGCAAGTGAGCGGGGGGGGCGGGGGGAGATGCACGTAGTCATTAGGATTAACTGATAAGCCCAGACTTATTGGTTAACAGTTTAAATGACTATACGCTAACATCCCTAAAATTAGTTATGCAAAAATCTTCTACGGAACAATTAAAACATGTAACACCTAAATACACAAAAGGTAGTCTACATTATCCACAATAACTATGTTTAGAGCATATATCCAGGATTTTTATTGATCAACTATGAAAATGTATTATGGCATCAAGAAATAAATGCAAAAAGCAGTTACATTCCTTTGCATTTAGGTTCATGTATGTATGATCTGCTGATAAGAGTGTATAAACTCAGCTTTCAAATAATACATTGCACAAAGACAGACATCCACCTGTTTGGTCGATTCAGAAGTGAAACTTGGATGGGTCAGGAGAATATCCATATCCCCACTTGATTCTGCACCTGAAAAAGTAAAAAAAGGAAGAAAAAGAAGAAACAACCCTTATTGTAAATCTTGATATCAAGTAAGAATGGATCATGGTAGGTCACATTTGAATACTAGTGCTGAAGAAAAGAGGAGAAGCTCTTCTGTTCACAGAACTAGCACAGAATAGTTATTAAGGTTCTTAATAAGGGGTTAGATAAACACCTATAGTGTAAGTATTTACATGGTCTTGCCACAGCACAAGGAGCTTTATTAGATGATCTCTCACAATGTTTTTCAATGGTACATTTCTATGAGTCTATGATTAATGGGGAAGCCTCGTCAACATCTCAACCATAGGGTATGTCTACACTGCATGGCTATTTTGGGATACCTCCGATATCCCGAAATACCTACCCTGTGTCTACATGGGACGCTTGTTATTTTGAAATATTTTTCAAAGTAACAGGCAAGCTATTTCGGCATCCCAGTAACCCTTGTTCCACAAGGGTTAAAGGGTGTCTCAAAATGGCACATTATCTCGAAATGCAGTGCTGTGTAGATGCACCAAATTTCAAAATAAGCTATTTTGAGTTTAGGGTGCTATGTAGATGCACCCCTAATGTGCTAAGAAGAAGAAAAGACTAAGGGACTAAAAACCATTTGCAATGGATTGTAGAAGAATTGAATGTCTTTCTAGTGAGCACCCTGCTGAGTATTTACTACTGTGCACTTCCTCTTTCATTTTACACAGCTTAGACAAGGCAGTCTGCTTAGAGCTGTTCTAGTAGTGTAGACATAACCTAAGAGAGCTACCTGGTTTTTTGAAATAAGAGTTATTTCTGGAGTTATTTCAAAATAAGCTTATTACTTTTCAAAAGCAGTTTAGGAATCATTAAAAAAGGATAGCAAATAAGAAGCAATGAGTTATTTTCTGTCTATGTAAAACCATGGTACGCCCACATCTTAAATACTGTGTACAGGTGTGGTCGCCTCATCTCGAAAAAAATAAAAATAAAAAAAAAAACAAAAAAAATAAGAGGCATTGGAAAAGGTTCAGAAAAGGGCAACAAAAATGATTAGGGGTTTGAAATGGGTCCATTATGACGAGAGATTAAAAAGACTGGGACTTTTCAGCTTAGAAAAGAGGAGACTAAGGGGGGGGGAGAATATGTTAGAGGTCTATAAAATCATCACTGGTGTGGAAAAGTGAATAAGGAAAAGTTATTTACTTATGCCCACAATATAATAACTAGGAGTCACCAAATAAAATTAATAGGCAGCAGGATTAAAACAAACAAAAGGAAGTTTTTCTTTACTCAGCACACAGTCAACCTCTGGAACTCCTTGCCAGAGAATGTGGTGAAGGCTAGGGCTTTAACAGGGTTCAAAAGAATAGCTACATAGTTTCATGGAGATTAGATCCACCAATGACTATTAGCCCTGATGGGTAGGAATGGTGTCCCTAGCCTCTGTTTTGTCTGGAAATGGGTGACAGGCTTCCCAATGCTGAGAGGGAGCATCGAGCCTCATGGGCTGGGTCCAGGCAAGACGGGGATCACATCCGGCCTCCGGGACTTAGGTCTCCCACCCCTTTTTCGATAGGCAACTGGACTTTTGCTTGGGACACAAAAAAGCAGACGTGATTTTTGCTGTTGATCAAACACAGGCTAAGGCCCTCCATCCGCAGCATGATGCAGCAGGCCAGTTAACATTTTACATCCTGAAGCTGGCCACATACATGTGTGACCATCATGCACTCATTCATGCTGGCTAGATTACTGGGAATTGGTGCTTCATCAAAGCCTGTCACGAACAGTGTGAATGAAGCAAGGCTCTGCACTCGCACCTACACTATTGACCATTCTCTTTAGTTCTATGCTAATAGATTCTTTCAGACTACAACTGGGGTATTTAAATACAATTCCATACAGATGGTAGCATCTGCCATCTCCAGTGTCTTCATGCTCACACTATAGCAATGACTTGTTCCTTAGGGAGTGCTTCTTCACTGATGATTGTGTGCTCCCAGCACATACCATCCAAGACAAGCAGCCTCCAAAAGATGGCTTTTTTAGATCAGCAAAGCTATTTGGACTCTGTCTGCCTCAAGAAAACCAAAGTGCTTTACCAGACTTCTCCAGGAACAACGTATTCTGTCCCTGGATTAGCAATTGATGATAGTGCTTAACATAATAGACCATTTTGCTATTTTGGCAGCGCTTCATCCGATAATGCCATGACTGATGATTACATCATGCAGTGTTATTTCTAAAGCTAGTTCTGCCTATGATTGACTTAGGGTACGTCTAGACTACATGCCTCTGTCGCCAGAGGCATGTAGATTAGGCTACCAGACATAGTAAAATGAAGCAGCGATTTAAATAATCGCCGCTTCATTTAAATTTACATGGCTGCCGTGCTGAGCCGACAAACAGCTGATCAGCTGTTTGTCGGCTCAGCACGGCAGCCATGTAAATTTAAATGAAGCGGCGATTATTTAAATCGCTGCTTCATTTTACTATGTCTGGTAGCCTAATCTACATGCCTCTGGCGACAGAGGCATGTAGTCTAGACGTACCCTTAGTTGTCTCCTGTGGAATGAGAGATATTCAACTTGACACCAAAATTAGTGTGTACCATGCAATTATGATAAGCACTCTTATCCATGGTAGTGAAACATGGACACTATAGAAGGCACTTGTTTTTCTATGTCTTGTATGCATCTCATCAACCATTTGATTTTCAGGACAGGATACCAAATACTGAAGTCCTGAACCAATGCTACATAACTAGTATCTAATTCCTAATAATTTTCTTTGAGCTGGTCACCTTGTGCGTACAGATGATACCCAACTCCCCAAAACCATATTATAGGTAGCACTGTGAACAGGAGCACAAACATTGGGAGGCCAATGACAATGACACGATACTCTGAAAGCTCATTGAAAAACTGGCCACATCGACCTGAACACATGGGAAGTTGCTGGTGGCAGACTTCACAGTCTACAATAGAAGCCATCAAGAACAGGAGAAAAGAAGTCAAAGGGAAGTATAAGCAAAGAAAACAGGCAATAGTAAAAACATGCATCCACACTGGCTCATCATGCAGATGCATCTGTGGAACCCTAATCAATTCACATCTGTGCAAGACAACACAGAGCAACAAACTGACTCTCATATGCTGACCACCACTGGAGACTCCAACAGAACTAAGCAGCGGTTTAATTCTTCTAGGACTAGCCTGTCAAGTGCATCATAAAAGATTAATCTACAGAGGCCAAAATAAGTGAACGTCACATTTTAGAATATTTTTGCTTTGATTTTTTTAATTTAGTTGTTTTAGTTGCTTCCTGTTTTGCAAATTTCAGTAATTTTCTATGTGTCTTTCTCTCTCTCATATATATATATAAGTTTTTCCTGCAAGATGACAGAGTGACATCATCACGTCATTCTACATCCTGCAGGCTTTGCTCTTGCACAGCCTTCCTGCCCCAGATGCTGTTTGGGAACCAGCAAAGCCTCCTGGCAGCCCGGACTGGGCAGATTCCACCCCCCTGAAAGACTGCTGCCACAGCTGAGTGGGTAGGACCCTTCAGAGGTAGAATCTCCCCAATCCAGGTTGCCGGATGGCTTTGCCAGTCCCTGAACAGTGTCTGGAGCAGGGAGCAATTCCATCCAGAGCCTGGGCGCTGCTCCAGATTAGCCTGCTGCAGGGAATAGGGCTGCGGCAGCACCACTGTGATTACTCGCAGGGGAGACCCCAGGTAGAGGTTCACGATTCAGGCATTTGTCAATAAGTTTTGACTCCTAGAATCATAATGTAAATGATCACCAACCTCGCCTGAAACTGCCACAGACTGTAGCAATATATTCGGAGTCCAGTTTCTTTACCTCTTCCAATGCTATTTCCTGTTGAGGGGGAAAAAAAAAAAAAAAACACACAACAACCCCACAGATCAAGATAATTGAGTTGCCCTCTACATTTGTTCTCACTGCCTGGCTTTGTTGAGGAAGAACATATCTTACCTGCATCTGTAACATCTCTTCTCTAGGGATTCTTTTCTCAAAGTCATCAAAATATCTGCACAGATAAAAATAGTTGAAGGACTAAGGGTACAGTTGTGCATTTAAAATTTAACCAAGCAAAGATTAGATCAAATACTGTACATTTTACATTAAACTGATTGTTTAGAAACTAAAAATCTAGACAGTGATGGTAAACAAATTAACACAAGGTTCCTTTTGCAAGTCTCACACACTTGAGACTGATTTCAGACGGGAGAGGAAGTACTGCTATCATACAAGAATATCCTATCAGGAATTTCTTCCACTACCTTCCAAAACTGATTTTATCAGCAGCAAACAAAAGGCTTTCCTTAGAGAGTGGCCAGAGGCAACCCAAGCCATCATTTTTTCCTAGAGTTTAGGCTCTCAGTAGTCCAGACAGATTTCAAATCAGAACCTGAGAAGAAAAAAAAGCTGTATTTTCTCTATCTTTAGTAACTTAAAAATGGATGGGCTGAATTGACTAAATCTTTCAAAACAATGCATCTTTTGGCTGTCCTAGGCCCAAGTCCATTTCATCCCCAAAGAAATTTGGTTGGATAAGACATGAGCAACTGAGAAAAGGATTGAACAGGGGATGGAACTGGATCTTACCTATTGAGCGTGCCGCTTATGGTTGCTATAGTCTTAAACGGTATACTGACCTCTGAAGGCATTTTTTAACAGCAGCCAAGCAACTATATCTAAGAAAATTAAAACTGCCTTACTTTAGCCCAATTCGTTGATGATGATTCAGCTTGTGTTCATTTTTCCTTAGATCTGGGAAAAACGGAACAGAAAAGTTAGCCAAGAGGAGGAAAATCACTTTAACAAATAGATATTGAATGAGTTAAATCATCTTTAACACACAAGAACACTCAGACAATAACAACTTTAAAAAGAAACAAAGGATAAGAGCTTTTGTTGTGCTCATGAATTAGAATGCATGCAGTAACGACTACTAAAACTATATCCCTATGCCAGAACACATCCCTTAACCTAACAATAACAGCAAGGGTGTTGCAGTGCGACATAACACGGCTAGCAAAAAGTGTGCCTGGGAGAATTCTATCCTGGCTAAACAAAGGCTCTTTATTCCCTCAAAAACAAAGCAAAACCACCACCACAAAACCCATTCCCTGGAGGGATAAAACAAAAAAACCCTCACAACCAATTATTTTCCATCCATGTGCGGAATGAATTACACGCACTGACGTATGTGCAAATACACCACCACTAGAAACAAAAGCCTAGCTGTAGAAGCTCTGCTAATCAGCTGGGTGGCATCAGAATTTCTCCTGAGCAGTTGCACACGTGCACAGTTTACAGGGAACACTACATATAACTCCCACGCCTTCCAGACAAATAGTTCCATGCAAATCAGTTCCAGTCACTGAGCAAAAATGTATTAGGAAACAGTCAATCTGAAGTCAGTAAGTAGTCACTGTAGTGTTTAATACTGTGCTCAGTGCAGTGCTTGTTGAGCTCTGCATTCTCTAAAAGGCCAAACCTTCACCTGTATTGGAAGCAGGCTGCCTTGTGATTGGGATCATCCCAGACTCACACATACAGATGCTGTATCAGAGGCAGCAAGGTGGCAG